TACCTGCTGTTTTCCTCCAGTGGAGCTTGTTCACGTGGTTTGTCTGTGAGAGTTATGCTGTCTAAGAATAGCCTGAGGTGTTCTAATATCTGCACCGGAGAGTGCAGTCATTAATTTTTCTCATTTGCAGCCTCTCGGTACGCTTGCTGTTTTTGTTGTTTTCCACGGCTGTGACACTTTCCGCCCCCCTAACGACACTCTGAAGACAAACTTTATTGTTCCAATCGCTGCTTCACAAAGACACGGCATAGTTTCACTACAACCTCGACGGAAAAAGAAACAAATATTCCCCGTTGTAAGAGTGTGTGTAAGGTGAGGCTTTTTAAAAAATAACCTTTAAAGTGAATCCCACTAAGCTCCTTCACTGCTTGTCTTAATTACAGAGGCCAGAACACATTTAATCCCTATTTAATGAACAGGAGTCTTATAGCCACGGGAAAGAAGACACTTGCTTGAGGAAACCCCAATGAATTTTCCCATTGAACCAGTTTTTAATAAATTCGTGCAGTCAGATTATCAGCCAGTAATCAGAATTCCACATTTTCTGCACGCAGATTAATCAGTTTGGTCTGATTTTCTAGGTAGTTTCAATACACACACGCACGCGGATTACAGTGTCTTGTAGTATTCCTACCCTTAAGTTTTCATGACTTTGTCACACTACAAGCACAAATTTGGGACTTAATTTGATACACCAACACAAAGTAATGTGTGATTATGAAGAGGAAGGGATCAGGATTATAAGGATTGTATTAGTTTTACTTCACTGTGACTTTTTGTTTGCCTAATTCAGTTCTAGTTTCTAGAATGTGTTTGCTAGTTTTTATTTGTTAAATATTGTTTAGTTTTAGTTTTATTTGTTATAGTCGTAGTTTTTGTTTTTTCATACTTTGACCTTTTTTAATCATGCAGTTAAAATTATCACGATACAATATACATCATGATATTCAGCAAATTATACGATTCAAGATTTTCTGAAATATTTTAGATGGACAGAGTGAGTGTGGCTGTTCCATAGACTTGGATTTAATTAATTGAATTGATGGTGTAATACTGGTGTAATAAATGTTGTTCTTGTTATACATTTGTTATATCTTTGGCTTTGTTTAAATGTTAATGTGTGGCTTTGTGTATTTGTTTCTGCAGAAAAGGAACTTTTTTGTCTTATTCACTTATATTAAATAATGTAATTGATCTATTTCATTTCATTATCTAATTAATTGTAACTGTTTCATTACATGTCATTTTATGTGCAACTGGGTAAAAAATGTAATGTGTGAAAGCTTCCATTTAATTCATGTGGATTTGACATAAAACTCAAAGTAAGATTTAATGCATCACGGATGAAAGAGCGATACTTTCTGAGGAAAAAATATATTAAGATTATAGAATCACTAAAATTACACACCCCTAAATTTTAGTATGTTTTGCTTTTATAAATGCGTGAAATAGTTCCAGTTATAGTTTACCCCAATTAATTACCATTTTTATTTCTATTACTTGTCTATCCCCTGTCCTGCATGTTTTAGGTATTTCCCTTCTGCCACACACCTGAATTGTATCTCTGGGTGATTAACAGGCTTCTGCAGCACTTGATGGTCAATCATTTGAATCAGCTGTTCTGGAATAGAGGCACATCTAAAACATGCAGAGCAGGGGGGCGGTGAGGACCAGGGTTGAGAAACACTGGTGTAGCCCATTTTTACTGATAATCTAAAATTATAATTAAAATACAGCTGTAAATGTATTTATGAACAACATACCTTCTCCCTGAAATAATTATGTTCCCATCTATTGAAGATCTTTATTTTGCATCACCCAACCTTTTTGTGTCTGGACCCACTTAACTGTGTTCGGACCATAAAAGTAAGACATTACCACATGTCCACAAATTGTTTACCATACAATTAGTTCTGCCTGCTTTGTTTAACTAATAGGGTAGCTATTTATTTAGGCCACCATAATGCGAGCGGCTTATTTAGTTTACAGGAAATAGTCGAGCCAACAAGCTGGCGCTGGATTGTTTGGGATTTGTGGAGGGTTTGTTCATGTAAGACATTTGGCTAAACAAAGGGACCATTTTCGTTTGTTTCTTTTGTTTGTTTTTTATAAGAAAAGTTTCTGACAGTAAATTTGGTTGAAATGTTTTCACTGATTCGTTCCTTTCAACACCTGCATAAAACTGAAATAAAAAGCAGAATGTTGCTGAGTGATTTTCTGTGATTCCCCACTTCAGGTTTTTATTTAATCCTCAACAGCGTCTTGCCTCCAACTAGTTGCTAGTTTGTTGTGAATAACTTTGTTTTTCATTTATTTTTTTTTAAACTGAACTCGGTGTATATTTGTCAGATTTTTATAAAGTCAGTTTGACATCCAAGGAGATGCTTCTGTTTTCTTTAACACATTTTTTTTAAATCTATATTTTGCATAATAAGTAGGACAATTTGGTTTGGTCAAAAAATGCTTCTTGGCAGGAAATCCTGTGAAATTAGAAAGCCAGTTCATTAAATGGTGTCACATTTGAAATAAAAATTCATTTATTCATTTTTGGTTCGGTTCAGTCTGTGCCCATTAAAACTTGGCAAAGTCTCTGCTAATGCCAAACATATTATTCTGCCACCGACTATTTTTGGTGGTGTTTATGGTGTTGAATGATCAGAGTTTGAAGAAAAAAGATATATTCATAACTTAAAGATTAGTTAATTAAATAAACAAGACCTTTTGGGAAATCTCTAGCTGCATTTCCCTTACAAACGTGAGCAAAACTTTGACAATATTCCGCTAATGTCGAGAATTTTGCAATTGTGATGTTTCCATTAAATAAGAAACACAATTAAATTCACACGTTAACTAGCTTGTCCGTGCTGCATCATCATCCTCCATCTACTTAAGAAAAACACACTGAGTAAAATAAAATCCAGAGATATGGCACCATTTATTATTCGTCTTCTGAAACGTTTATTCGGAGAACACAGAAGACGTTCGAGTTGTTGAGCCGTACAATAAATACAGAAAACAACCAGAGCTTGACAGGGTGAAGGGACCCAGTCTGGGACCAATCAGTACAATTGAATTGACCGGACACAATCGGAGAATTTGGGGATCATAACAGTGAAATACAGAAATAAACTGGTATAAAATCCCTTTCACTGGGCCTTTTTCAGATGTTTCAGTTGGTACAAAACAATCAGCAGTCTCTAGTTGCATCTTTCATTAAAAGGTTACAATAAGTGATTGAAGAAATGATTTGACATCTTTTGTAAACAGATTTCCAAAGGAGAGACGGCAGAGAGCAGCTGCTGTTCCCTCTTGACGCCGTAGCACCACGAACACAGACATGAAGTGCAGCCAAGAAACGCTTCTCTCAGAGTCGACTTTTGTTCAAAATTCGTGTAAATCTGTCCCTGATGCTCCACACATCCCCCGTACTTTAAAAAAACAAACGAACAAAAAAAAAACATGGTTGCAGTGCTTCATGTTTTGCTTGTAATCTGATTGGTCGGTCAGCTTACACATCACATTTACAGTGAGCTGCAACTCCTAGAGAGAGTGGCTACACACACACACACACACACACAGATACGCACACGTAAACGTACATGGATGTGTGCCAACACGCTCCGTCTCTTTGGCCGGCGTGGTTCACATGTTCCATCCCAGACCGATGTGTGTGGCCAGCAGGTAACACATGGCGACCAGGCATGTCATCACCATCATGGGGAACCCCAGCCTGGAGGACAGGAAGTACAGTGGTTAAAACGCTCCAGAAAATGTACGTCATCCCATTTAATAATAAAAAATAAAAAAAACACACACTAATAGGCGCTCATACAGCAACACTGAGTGTTTCATATTCAGAATCTGTCAGTAGCTGTGTTTCCATTGCAAAAACGTTGATATTCGGCTAACGTCGAAAAAACGCAATGCCGCAGTTGGGAAGTTTCCATTAAATAAAAAATGCAAGTAAAATAAGTGAATAAGTTTGTTCACGTGATTAAAAAACATTTAAAAATTTTGCTCATTTTTACACAATTTCTGGTTTATTTTACATTACCATTGTTACTAGTAATAAAGAAAATCCTCTTTTAGGAACTGTAATTTGTATTCATGAAGGATCTGTTATTTCTTTTTGTGTGCCAAGACAGCAAAAACAAAACAAAAACATCTGTAAGGTGGCAAATAATTTTTTTTACTGCACTTTACTAGGAAGCGTTGCAAGTTCTCTGACTTGATAGGTGAAAAAGCAGAATAGTCAAAGTCATCAAAGATGTCAGGAATGTAAAAGCTGCTGATTGAAAGAGACGGCGGAGTGCCAGACTGTGTCAGGTTCAGTGTTGTTTAGCCTTCAATGGTGCTTTCCATCCCTAAACATATAATGCAGTCAGAGTGGAAATGATGAAAGCAGTCTGAACGCTCCCCTGCTCTCCACCATCTTGTTAAACACAAACATTAACCTGCTCAAAATACATAATTTCAACTTTTTTTCTTCTTTTTTTTTCATCCAGCAGCTTCAGGCATAAAGAACTTTCCACATCGCACAACATCTTTAAAAAACTAATCATGTTTTATCCATGCAGTAGGGTAACTTGCAGTTATTTTATTGCCCAACTGAAGCTGGTGTCAGTTTTTATTCCTGAATTAGCGTCGTCAGTCTCACACGCTGCCTCTCTCGGCTGCAGATGGTTTCTCATTTGGATGTGGACCATGTCCTAGATGAACACATGGCTGCTCTCAGGGCCAGGAGTCTGGCTGCCTCCAGCCTCTGACACAGATCAGTATTGGAGGACAAAAAAAAAAAAACCTCACAAACTTACATCTTATGTCGGTAATTAAACATCGTGACTTTAAAGAAAAGCAGCCATATTGCAAGTTTCCATAACTAAACTGATGCAGTGTGAGATGAGGTCTAGTGCATTACTACAGTATTTATACACCTTGAACTTTTCCGCTTTACGTCACCTTGCGACCACTAACTGTATTGGGATTTATTGGGATTTTATGTGATTGACAAACACAAAGTGGTGCATAACTGTAAAGTGGAAGGTAGGTGATTATATTTCAGTAAAAATAATAATCTGGGAAGTGTGGCACACATTTATATTTATGCCCGGAGTCCAGAATTTGCAAAATCTTCCAGAGCTAAAAGCTGCCAGCCATTACGGTTGTATTTCTCTATTTATCTAGAGACTGATTTTTTTTTTTTTTTTTGCACATTTTATACTCATTTTATGTGGACGTCCACGTCTTTGTATGCTTGCAGCTGTATATATATATTTTTTCAAAGGCAGTGTAGGAAACAGGAAAACTATGTGGCATTGCTGCTCTGTTGCTATTTCTATTGAGCTCTGCAAATTTATGATGTCTGACAGACTTTAAAAATGTGCATCCCTAATTATTCTGATGAATATTTCTGACAGGGACCACCTACCAACATAAACACAACTTCGTATTCCAATTCTCCTGTGTGTGGTTAGAACAGCATGAATAGTGGGGGACATGCATAATGTTTATGCAGATTTTAGTCAATTAAAATCTTTACCTGCAGCCCATAGTAATGCTAACATGAGGTTATAAAAATAGCAGGAGGCATCTGTGCATGCTCATCTATTGGCTGGATATGCTAATAACAAAACAGAGATGTCCTTGGATTAAATAGAAACAGTAAAAATGTTTTACCAGGAATGAGAAGCAATGATATTAATTTATTGCTTCTCATTCCTGGTTCTTGAAACATAAGATTTAACCCTGATTCCAGTTTGAAACAGCCAGATCTACTGCTGTTTCTTAATATAAAAGTTTA